TATACCACTAATAGAATTCTTACTTTGAAACAATGTATTATGACACATATATAGTTAGTATTAAAAGTATTTTATAATCAATGTAAGTATTATGTTTATATTTAACACATTGAATGCATTAAATGTGTTGTGAACATAGTACCACATGTTAGCTCCTGGCACATGGCAAGCACTATTAAATATTAATTTTTATTATTTTCAGGTATGTTTATTTTGTTTTAATTTATATGGTCAATACTAATGCCTAATATACACTATTGCACAATTATATGATAAATTAACAAAGATAGTTTCCATTAAATGTACATCAGAAAGACAAATATTTTCTTCACTGTAGAAAATCTACTCTGGATTACTCTACACACAGAAATTCAGAAGAAACAGTATCATAAACCAAAACTAAAACATATGAAACTCTTTTCATCAAGCATGTGACATCTGATATAATTTGTAGGGATGCACTAAACACCAACTATCTAAATAAAGTTCTTATCCAGAGCTGAACATTTTGTGCTTACAAAAATAAAGAACTCAAGTGACTATCCCTGTGTTCCCAGGTCATATTTTTTCAATTCTCCTAACACTAACATTACCAAGATTCATAAGAGTGCAAAGGAAACTCCAAATCTGAGGGGAAAAAATTCCCCTTAAATTGTTAATCATTTAACTTACTATGAAATTTCCACATTGTGCTTTGTATTTAATTAGGAAAATATGTTTCTTCTTATTAGTTGTCCAGTTTCATTCTGCAAGACATTTGCAAGTGGATAATGAAGGAAAAACAAAACCCTGTGCCAGGGGAAATAAATCTGGAACAATCTCCTCAAGAGGTAATATTATTTTGTTTTGCCTAATTCCTGAGTAATCAAGCATGAAGAGTAGCCTTAATTTTTCCTGAGACTATCTGAACATAGGAGAGACTCTTCTACTTCTGCAGAGGGAGGAGTTAGCATTAGATCATTGCTTTTCATCAAGTCATCATAGTCTATTGGCTAAAGGTTTAAGGCCCAGGGCAAAATGGGAAAAAAAAGCATATTTAATGAGTTTTCACTGAATTTAAAGGCAGTTCATTGAAGTAACTGCATTTTATTTATTTATTTTTTTCTACTGGGACATGTGCAGGTGCAGGATGCGGTTTAGGTATCTTCCCTCTTAAAATCCATAAAAAGAAAAGAAGTCCTTTGAGTCAAAAGCTATAATAATTGAAATTAGAAACAAAGAGAGTATGTTAGCAGATTAGACATTATTTGGAAACTGAAAGATATATTTAAAATTATTACCAAGAATTCAGCACAAATTGACAACAATAAGGACAAATCAAGAGGTTACATGGAAAGAAGAGAAAGCAAAAGCCCAATGAATGTCTAATTTGTGTCCCAGAAAAAAAGCAGAAGGTTGAGAATGAATTTGGAATGATGGCTAAATAGATCTATTTAGTTTTACTTTGCATGATTTGTCTATTTTGCTATTTTATCAAGATCAAATGCATTTAGATTTTGTATAATTTTCTAGCAAATTCAAACTAAGACTCTAGGACAGGTGCCTTATTTATCTATAACAATAGAATGAAGATTAGATAATAGATTTGATGGAACATAAGTTTTATTTATTACCACTCTGTGTCATATATATAAAGGCTGCAATTATGTGTTTTTGCTTTGAGGATAATACCTCACAAAGTCTCATCAGATAAAAAAATACATTAACGTATGTTGTATAAAATTGGTTTTAGATTGTGATTTAGATGTGGCGCCAGTAGCTCAGTGGTTAGGGTGCCGGCCACATGTACCGGGGCTGGTGGTTTCAAACCCCAGCTGGCCAGGGTCTCCTAAACAATGATGACAACAACAACAACAACAACAA